TCAGTGCCAAACATTCCATCCCCTCAGTCAGCAGCTCCAGCTTCAGGGCTGGGCTGCACAAAATTTATCCCAGCCAGAATTTCTGCCCCAGTTACCATGTATCTTGCTGGAATTTGATTCGTTTAGCTCTCCTAGTCACAGACAAAATTGCACCTCGAAGTGGGGTGGTGAAGGATAATGAGCTAGAGAGATATGACTCCCTCCAAACAATCTGTGAACAAACAGTGCTGCTCTCTTATAGCCTGTTTACCTTGAGGATGCTCAGAGTGTTATGGTAGAACTCAGGTGGTGTTCGGTCCAAGATACGCTCCAGTGCTCCTTGGACAATTGTACAGGGTCCTAGGATCCTTTGGCTCAGTCTTATAAGGCCATCCCTGATCTGAGAAAACATTGTGACATTTGCAGTTCAGATGATGCTTTCCTGAAGGAAAGGAACAGCTCCAAGGCCCACTTTCTGTATTTCTACAGCTGTTCACACCCCTCTCTTCAGTGAGCATACAGAGTATTAAGGAACATTTGCGTGACTACATGCCAGGTTTTTCAGTCTATTTACAGTGTCATTCTCTGGTCCTCAGCTGCAGATTGTAAAGCTTCCCAATCTGACTTGAACCAGGCTGGAATATAGCTAATACAAACAAAGTCAGAGCTGTTCCAAATACTACTTTGCATTTCCCTTAAGTTTGAGCCCACAATCCACACTTTCAAAGCCAGATAAGGACAATCAACATTAGCTTTTCTGCTCACTCATTTGGTCCTCTCTTCTCCCTCTTCTTCTGCAGAGAGCCTTCTAGGTGGAAAGGTCACTGCAGTAGATGGTTGTTCTTGTAACACAGCTGAAAAATAGCCAGATAAAGCACTGGCAGCACTGCAAGGTGCTTTGTTCTTACTTTTAAGAGAAACCATGTAAAAGAACATAGAGACTACACACGGGCTCAACATACTGGATAAGCCATGCAATACCTTCAGTGCATGCTGGAGCTATTTGAGAAGTTAGAAGCACATGAAAAGGACAAGGGATGTGTGAATAAGCAGCATAGACAAGGAGTGTGCTACAATGCAGATGTGGGTAGAAGGCCATGTCTGGGAACAGATGAGTAAGGAAGGGACATGAAGAGGCTAGAGGAGCAGAAAAGCATGTGAGCACAATTGGGTGACATCCATGTGAGAGCAAAAGAGCAGTACATGCCTGTATCACTTAAACACCTGGTGATCCACAGACTGAAGATGCTGCAAGCCTGTTGCCATGACAGCATCACTCAGCAGTTCTCACCTCATTACCAAAGATGTCTCTCCTGTCATGAATTAGGATCCAGCCCATCCGCCAGCCGGGGACTAACCACCGTTTTGCCAAGCCACCACAGGACAAGATTGGCACATTGGTGCTCAGGGTTGCAATGGGTTCATACTTGCAGTCAGCAAACACCTGTGACAGGAGACTGTGTTAGGGCTGTCCTTAGCTCTTGTTGTGGGGCCTGTGGGTGTGTGCATGAGGCTTAACAAGAAGGGATGCAGGGAAGTGATGGGAAATTGATGATTAAAGCTCCCAGCTTCACGGTATGAGCATGGTAAGTGCAATCACATAAAAGTGAACCATTTGAGAAGAGGAAAGGAGCTGTCCCTCACCTCTGGACACTTGGCTGCCATGGCCAAGGGTTAGGTGGATCAAAAAGGACAGGAAGCATTAGGGCTGCAAAGGACTGCAAGTGACACTCACCATGTCTCCATAGATCTCGTCAGCAAGGATGGGCACGCACTGTCTTGATGCCACTGTGGGAGAGAGGGCATTCAGCCCGGCCACCCTGTGTCTTCCATGGGAACAGGTTTGCCCTTTGCTGTAGGGCCTAGCAGGGCTCTGAGGGAAGTTCTGTCCCAGGGCAGAGGGTACCTATCTTCCTCCTACAGACTGTTCATTCAGAAAGCCTAACCACTGGAGGTCCCTGCCCTGGCTGAGCCCAGTTCTGCTCCAGTCTGTGGAGGCTGGCAGCACAGCCCTGCCTCTGTCAGGTCAAGGCTCAGGAAGCACAGGGTTCCTGTGAATGATCCCACTGCAGAGCCAGAGTGGAGAAATGAGCAGTCCAAGGCACATAGAGGTTTTTGTGGAAGACATGTGCTCTGCATGTTTTTTGCCTGGATAAGACACTCTTACACCAAGCAAGCCCTGATTTCTGAGCGGGGGTCAGTCACAAGGAGAGAAGCAAAGCACTGGGCCATGGTGCTGCAGTGACTGAAACACGGGCAATGTGGTCACATATCAGACTACAACCATGTGCCAGATACACACGGTCAGGCTCACCTGCCAGGATCTCCTGGAGGTGGCTTTTGCTGAACACAGAGCCACAGGGGTTCGACGGGTTATTCACAATGAGGCAAGCTGTCTTCTCATCCACCAGAGACTCCAAGTGCTCCAAATCAATTTCCCAGGACTTCTCTGGCTAGTGAGGTGAAGAGAAGGGGAAGTAACAGCTGAGGATCTGGACTTGCCACACAAAGTGAGGTGTGCCAGGCCACCCAGTGTTACTCATGTTGCCTTCATGCACTTCCCAGGTAGAGCCAGGGTTTTTCTGAAAGGCAGAAATGCCAAAGTTGTCCTTTCCAGACCTGACATCACTTACCAAGAGGTTGTAGAGTTTGACCTCAATCCCCATAGACAATGCCAGAGTCTTGTAGAGGGAGAAGCCAGGCCGTGGCACCAGGATGTTCTGGCCTGGGTTGGCCAGCACTGCCAAGGCAAGCTCTATGGCCTGACTGCAGCCACTTGTCAAGATGACATCCTGCAAAGAGCACAGCAAGGTCAGTGAGAAGTACAGCCACCCCAAAGTGTCCCAGACATGTGGGAGGGACATAACACCCAGGCACTGCCAGGTGAGAGCTTCTCAGCCAAGAGGACAGCCCCAGAGCCTGACAGAAAGCAGGAAGACTCCAACAGCTGGAAAGCCCAGCCTCCTCCTGAGGAGGGTGGAGGAGAAGGGCTCAGGGCAGGGATGAGAGCAGCAGGAGGCCACTGTGGGACAGGCCCACTGTGGAGCCTTCAGTCCTGCAGCTGGGCAGGGAGGGAGAGCTGGGGCAGGGCCCCCATGCCCCATGGTCTGGGCACAGGCAGCAGGGCCCTGCCTGAGCTGCAGTGGGAGCACCTTGCTGGGCAAGTACCTGGGCTGTCAGTGGTGCCTCTGGACAGCTGTAGTATGCAGCCACAGCTTCCCGGCAGGACTGGTAGCCTGAGGAAAGAGGTATCAAACATGAAAGGGAGGTTTTTACAGACCATTTCCTTCTTCCTGTGAGCCTCCAAGGCTCACAGCTGCTGCCCAGCTGGGGAAAGCCCATTTGGTGGTGTCCCAAGGCAGCAGACACTGTCTGTGTGGCCAAACACCATGCAGCTCCTGAGGCTGAGCCAGGATGGCCAAGAGCAATGCCAGACCTTGGGCCAGGAGGCAGAATCTGGCCCCAGCACATCCTGAGGACAGAACAGACAGGAGCAGGTGGAGGGCAGCCAGGGAGTTTTGTGAGCCAAGTGCGATGACACAGCCCTCAGTGTTTAGTGATGGCACCAGGGCAGCCCTCCCTGTCACTGCCTGGAAGGTCCCATGAGGCAGGCATGAGCTCTGTCCACACTTCTGGCACTAACTGCTGAAAAGCCTCATGTTGTCAGAGCACCCAACGGGAGTTCTGGTCAAGGCAGATCAGCAAGGAGCTTGGCTGCAACCAATGGCAGGGACACACATTCCCAAGTCCTTCTGGCTGCTTGAAGCTCTGCCTACTCCAATAGCTGGGACAGCAAACACAGCTTCCACAGGAACTCTGAGCCTCAAACGGCTCATGTAGGGAAGGACATTCAGGTGTATCTGGGGGATACACATGCTTATGTGTTCAAATGACTGTTGGTGAGGACAGCAGCAGGGTGCCAATGGAAGGATGTCTGTGGGCTTCATACACCTGCTGTGGGGTAGGAGGTAGCATATGACTCCACCCAACTCTCATAGGATGAGCTTTGTCAACTTACCAACAGATGGAGCATAACCGTTGCACCGGCCTGAGTCCAAAACCTCCTTCATAGCCCGTGTGACCTCATCATTTGTGGGAAGGTTCCCAAAGACCGTTGGGTCTCCTTTTTGAAGAGTGAAAAAATAGGAAAGTTCTCACTGCTCTGTGACAGGCACAGAGCTGTGTGATTGTCTGGTTTATCCCATAGTGTTTGCACAAACTTTGTGCTTCAGAGCCCTGCAACCTGCCAGACACACAGTTGACCCCAATACCCAGAGGTTTCAGACACAGGACTATGCTCACCTAAGGATAAGGAGATCATGGCTTTCTTTGGGTTGGGCTCCACCTTCATGCTGTCTACAATGGCTCGGACAGGATTGAAAGTCTTCTTTGACATTTCAGAAGCCCTGACAGCCCATCTTGGCTTCCGGCCTTTCGCCTTCGCTGGTGGCATGGTGTTCCCAGTACTCTTGAGATGAACATCTAGCATAGGGGCATGATCTCCATGGCCGTTCACGCGGATCAGGTACGAGTCCATCCTGTGAGCTGTCAGTGCAAAGTGAATTTCCTGGGCTTAGCTAACACATGTCAAACAAGGAAGCTGTCCATTTGGGGATGCAGCCAAAAAGTAAAACTTCTGAAAGCTGTAGACTCTACCTGCTGCCTATGGACAGCTCATCAGCAGCAAGTAGGGTTCTCTTTGGCGCTTGGATGGCGTGAAACCCCACAAAAAAGTGAGAGCACAATACAGTGGGAAAGATAAAGACACTGCTCTATGCGAGCTGCACCGCTGCCTAGCATGGTCCTGTTAAAGCCAGGGGCCAAGAGTTAGCAGCATGTTGTAGTCACTGTTTGACTGCAGATTCAATATTTCACTGACAAAAGGACCACATCACCCTTCTCCTCCCTCCAGCTATCAACCTTCACACCTCAAACTGCAGCCACAAGGACCAGCCCACTATGTGTGTTCACATCCAGAATGTTCCTTCAGTCTACAGACAGAAATGCAGCACTGTAAATCAAACCTCAGTTGCCAAAAAGGTAGTTCTTGTCCGATGTTATCAGGATGCACTGGGCAGTGGCAGAACAGAGGTTAGACACTAGCCTCTGTTGGCAGAGTAACAGCCCAGCCCAGAGAGCCTAGATCAAAAGACAATGCTTAGAAAATGGGGCAAGAGTAGTATGGCCAAGAGGGAAACCTGGCAGGCAACACTGCCCCAAGCAAAGGGCCTGTAGTTGCCCCAGAGGCTGAGTAACAAGCGTGGCACGGCAGAGGAACACTTGCCTTTAAGGCACTAAAATGGACACAGAAGTGACTCACACACCCCAACTCAAGAGACCCAGAGCACAAGCTAGACCCAGAGAGGAAAAGTCTTCCTTATGAACTGCTGATGACCCAGGGCTTTCCAACTGTAGGTTAGGAACAGGACACAGAGCAGAGACCTCCTGATACACCAGATCCATTCTTGCTGATACTGGCACACTACGCTGTCATTTTGCTACAAGCTGCTTATGCTTTCTGAAAGGCAGAAAGCTCTGCTGAAAGGCAATTCAGTGAACAGTGCCCCTTTCCTGATGGTAGTTACTTAGCTACACACTTGCAGATACTCACAACACAGCTTTCCCTTCCTTGCTGCAGAGACTGAGCCAAAAGGGTTGCCTGGTTCAGGCAGGATTTGCTATCTGAACAAATTTCTCACTGTTTCAGTGAGGTTTGCCCCTAGAGGTGCACCATGCTGCTGCAGTTACTCTGCCAGCAGTACCGTTCATAGCAACCCCATCTGATATAAGTAAGATTTCGGCTTTTCTGTGGCTAATACCTTCTAGGTTTCCTATCTACCAGAAGAAAGGCAGCAGAAGAAATGTACATAATGTGCATAAAAAATCAAGCCCAGAAATGAGCCATATATCTCCGGCTCAACAGCCAGCCTGAGCACCAAACACACAGTTTACCCCAGCAAATCCTTCACACCACCCTGCAACCTGATTCTCCTGAAAAGCAGAGCTGAAGACACAGACTCAATGGATGTTTTCAATGTAAGCAGCCAGGGAAAATGTCCCCACTTCTCCCCTTAACTCAGCAAGGTACCAGAGCATAGCACTTTACCTTCTACAGCGCAGACAAGGAGATGCCAACAAGCTTAGAGGTCCAGTCCCCAGTTTTCATCCAGGACAGGATCTTGAGAGGAAAGTCCTGCGAATTCTTGCCCATGAAATAAGCCCCAAAACTGGGCGTTGGGACTGAATCGTTTAACCATTGGCTCACAGAGAGGGCTGCTCTCTCCACCCAGAAACGACCTCTTCCTCCCCTTTGTAGCTTGATCATTTCAAACACCTGGAACATGCCTGTGTGTTAACTCTTTCTGGAGGTGTCCTACAGGACACAGCTTGGCTTCCTTGGTGTACCTGGGTTGCCACCCTTTGGCACCACTTTCCTCAGTCCACAAAGACTGCTGGGACCAAATCTGCACAGTCCAGGTATTCCAGCCCTAGCACATTGTAATTCACTGAGGGTGGATTGATGGACCCTAAAGCCTGAGGAAGCCATGAGTCTGTCCTGACCTCAGAGGCTCTGGGCTCCCAATGCACCAGCTAAGAAAGGCCAGTTTGTGGCTTCATTATAGTAAGGAAACATCTTCCACAGGGTGAAGGGAAAAGGGCACTTCCCTAGCCAAGATTTTAGAGCCACCAGGACCTGAAGGATTAAAGGAAGCTCAAGTTGTCATGGGTTTGGTTTTCTGACTTTTCCTTTTTTTGGGGGTTGCTGCAAGACCCAAGCAAATTCATAATTATGGCAGCCAACAGAAATTATGCAATTCTTCCCTTTCTGATGGTACTGCAAAGCACAGATGACACCATTCCCAGAACGCCCCTTTTTGCTAAGTGAAGGGAAGCTATGCCTTCCTGTCCCTTAATTCCTGCAGGCCTGAGATATGAGAGGCATCTGAACCCTGCCTGTCTTCCAAGGGCTGCTCCAAGTCTTCCCTTATTGCCATGGCAGCAAATCACCAGAGACTGAACAGTTGTTCAGGGACAAGAGGGACCTGCTGATCCTCAGGCAAACAGCCTGCAGATGCCTTCATTTCAGAGTCCAGCAGCACTGTGGTTTGTACCTGTTTACACCTGCACCTGAGTGGGAAAAAGAAGGACCACTAGCACTCAATCCATGCTCACTCACTACCCCCAGTGGTGAGGCTGCATCTCCCCAGGTGCAAGCAGTGGGCCCGTCCCTCAGTGCTGTGGCTGTGCCCATGCTGCTGGGCGGCCAGGACCTGCTGTTGGCCACAGGACTGCAATGGGCACTGCTGAGGCCACAGTTGGGGCCTGGGACTCTGGGCTGGAGGCAGGCTGGGAGGTGGTGGGGTGCAGCCAACAAGTCTGGCCAGGGGCCCCAACCCTAGCCTGGAGAGCAGGCAGCCACCACTGAGGCCTTTGGACAAGGAATATCTCCTCTCAAAAACACTTCATGGAAAAATATTGAAGATGTTTGGGCTGTCTTCTGCTGAGGGCTGCACAGTTTCAGGCTATTTTCTCTTCTTTTGACTGAAACCTGATGTGGTTGACCTTCAGAAGTCCATGCAGGCCCTCTCCAAGAACCTGTGGGTTATTTTCTTGCTTCCTCCAGCTGGCCCCATCTCTTGCCATGCTGCAGCCCTGGCAGGGTTAAACATGGCATTGGGAGGCCTCAAGGACAATGCTGCATGTTCTGCCTAGCAACAACCCCCAAACTGACGCAACTGGAGCTTTACCCGTCATACTGCACACAGAGTGGGGTTCAGGGGAGGGCACGGTGGAAGTCTGCTGCCAAGAGGGGGGAAAAATGTGGCTTTGGAGACACAGACAGACCCAGTTACATAAGGCTGAGAACCTGGCCAGAAGAGGGGTAAGGACAGCAGTGTACAATGGCATCAGTGGGTTTCTCGTGCTATCACTATGCCTTTCTCCCCTCTCTGCATGACTTCAGTCCTTCTCCAGATGTGGGGTCTGCAGTCCCTGTCCCCCCCTCTTATGGTGCACAGGGCCCTTCAGGAATGAAGCATTAACACACATGAACACAACTAAGCATTTTGTGTTCTAGAAATAGGCCAAGCCACCCTTGCATGGTGTGGTGGAAGAGGTAGCTCCAGCAGCAGAACAGACACCAAGCCAGCAAGAGCAAGTAGTTCCCTCTTCCAGGCCCAGCTGCAGTCACAAAGCAGGACTGGCAAACAGCTGCTTGAAGGGAGCACAGGTTCAGGCATTGCCATCCTGACAAACCTGTCTCTGTCAGGCTGCAGGTAGGTCAGCCACCAGAAGAGTTTTGCCCATGCACCCATTTGGGGTGCACTGTGCCAGGGACACACACCCAACTGGAACTCTGCACAAAGATCCACCAGAGTCGGTAAGTAATCACTTTACCAGTTACTTCCTCATATTTTGCTTTCATTTCCAGCACTTTATGTCTGCACCTTTCAGACACTGGTACAGCACCAACCAGTTCGGGGTTTGTGTGTAACCTAACCTCTGGTCTCTGCATTTCCACTTCAAACAACTTTTAAAAACCAAATATGTGATTTTTCCTTTGTTTTTTAAAAAAAACCCCCAATTTATTGTTAATCTCTCATTTAGACAGCAAACAGCAATAAACCCTCCTTGTTTCTCATGAATGTTGTGGCCGTTTGTTGCATTGTTTCTATGTATTTATTACACAATGAAAGACTTGCAAGGCCAGTTACAGATGCTGAGAGGAATGTTCCACAAAGTGTGAATGTTACTAGTTCCTGGGTACAGCCACAGTGAAGAGAAACACCTTGTCCAGAACTGTGTTTGTTTACATCCAGGTAAACATTTTGTAAGTGCATATCCCATGTTTGAGTTATGACTTCAGAGTCTGGAGCTGTTGCATGATGTGTTGTGGCAGTTGTTCCCCAATGGCCTTGGAGCTACTGGGACAGTGACCAGCGGATGGGGGTGGGGTGGAAAGGGGCAAAGTGGCTTTGTGGGATGAGGTGACACTGCAATCTTGCAGGGGGTGGCATGTGCAGCACCAGCACCTCCTTCTCTCAAGCACACAGATAGGCCAGTCCCTCTTATGACTGAATTTGAGCCCCACTGATGGAAACACACCATCTGCCTGACTCATCTGCTCCAGCAACAATTGCTCATCTCCTTACAAAATGGAGTTGGTGCATGGGAGAGAAATACTGTCTTTTTTTGGAGGTGTCTAAGTCACATCCCTTTTGCTTCAAACTAAGCTCACTGTTTCCTGACCATGCCAACAGCAGAGAGGGAGATCAAAATTTGCTGCTCTTAACAGCAGATTTTTACAAGTTTGCAAGTTGTTTAGACACCTCCCTATTAACAAGGTCACAAGTTGTTAACAGACACCTGTTATTTCAAACAAGAGGACGGTGGTCAATCTTCTTCTCACAGGCTGTATTTCTAGAGCTTTCTTTTGCTTTCCTCTGGATCTCCTCCAGCTGATCCACGCACCTCTGTAAACACACCGTACAAGACTGGAGGCCAAACCAACACTGAAGGGGGGGGGCAGAAGAATTA